TAACTTGAGCTTCGGAGCCCTTACGCCGGGTTCTCCCCGGAGCTTCTTCACCCCCTCCGTTTCAGGTCCCCTGCCACTCAGTTCAGAGGCAAGATTGTTGACAGTTAAAACCGGTCAGATTGTGCATCATCAAGTAGCAATCAGCCTTTTCAAGAAAACATGCATCTAATCTAATATAATTATGTAAAACAAAGCCCTCATAGAAGAGAACTTCAAAAACATGTCTACCTTCCTACTCAGAAAAATGGATAAATAGGCTTTGATTCAAATTGACAAGTTACCTCATATATTTTTATTTTTGTAACAAGTCAAGTTGCTGACTCAAATAAACTACCCAACAGAAAGATCAACATGCTTTTTTTGAAGATAAATAAATAAATAAATTATTAGAAAGAGACAAGAAAGGAGATTACAGTGGGTGATAAGGCATCACCCCAAAAATAACATAACACCCTGCCACCCCAAAATTTCCAGAACTTCAATCACACACCGACCTAAACAAAGCTCTTGAACTACCCAATTAAAGCCCAACATTGCCCATCCCTAAACTCCTTCCTGAGCCCCCTTTCATATTACCCGAACACCCAATAAGCAGACAGCCCAAAACTCCCCTTCCNCTTTCATATTACCCGAACACCCAATAAGCAGACAGCCCAAAACTCCCCTTCCACCTACTGAACTAAAAACAAAATCACTTCAGACCTTCGTCAGTTGGAACAGCAACCTTCTCTTCAAAGCTGTTTTTGTCTTCATAATCCTCTTGTTAATTCCAACTCCAAATAAACCTCCCCTTAACCTTGCAATTTGAGGCTGGCACAACTTGGAAATTTGGTGTGGGTCATATTCTTAGATATAGTGGGTTGCTAATTACAAATTGACAATATTCATCAAAAAAAAAAATTACAAATTGACAATGGGTCCTCTCTCTCCCCCCTCTTGCAAGTGCCACTCAACTAGTAATGAATTGAAAATAACTTGTATGAGACATAGAACCTATTGCTCTTTAGTAAAGATACAAATTTAAACCAACTTTACACTACACAAGATTTTATCAGATCCAAATGAGATGAATCCATATTTGATCCACCCGTAACCAAATCAAATTTATATCACTTTTTACCAGATTGGATTTGAATTTGAATTTAGACAAATGATACCATTTTTTTTATCATCAGACACAATGATACCATTTGCAGTCCTGCATATAATGACGCCATGTGCCCGTTCAAATCACACACTCTTTTTTTTATATAAAACAGAAATTTCATTAAAAGAAAAAAGAGAATACAATAGGAAGGTAATAAGAGTTTTTTCTTCTTTTTACCCAAAGCCTTACAGCAACAAACCAGGGAAAAATCACCTAAACTCAAAACACCCAACCTGCCTAAAACCAGCGAAACCAAGAGCAGCATTCCTCGGAGTCTTGGATCCTCTTTACAATTGGATAAACAGGCTCTCCCACCTCCCCATAACCCAACATTAAAAATCACTCCTCTATCCTTTCTTTTTTATTTTCCCACTCCAAGAAAGCTCTTCTAGCAGACTCACCACCTAAAAAGGACAAACCCAAAAATTTACCAACTCCTTATCAACATTTTTTCTTTCCAAATCCACTCTCTTCTCTACCAAAATCACTTTGTCAAAAATTGCAAGATCTACTACTTTCTCCCTTGTGCCTTCTAAACCTTCCTCATCAACCAAACTGACCCTCATCACCCTAGCTCCACCACTTTGATCCTTAGACCTTTACACCCATCTCTTTTTTAAGCTTACCCCTTAAAGACTTCCAATCATCCAAACTCTCCTTCTTACCAGATGCCAATTGAGTCCTATCCACAACTTTTACTCCTTTTCTTTTGTACAATCTCTTAAACTTGTTACTAGGATCCACCCCAACCAGATCTTTGACGAACAAGAAAACCATTGTTACATGGACAAGATGCAAATTACTCATGCTTCTTGACTTCTTACAATGTGTAACATAATTAACTATATCATTCTCAAACTCAGCCCTCAAACAAGGTCAATGCAAATCCTTCCAACAACCACTTCAGAAGACAACTCAGAATTAACTTTACCCATGGCTTCCTAAGAGGAATCCTCCAGTCCAGTTTCCAGAGTTGCAGAAACAGATATTACCTCAAAACCGGGCACCACTTTTTCACCATAACCAGAGACATCACTTGGCTCCACCTCTGAAACAGATATCACGGATGAACTCAGAGCTGCCCCAAACCTGACTTCTTCCCCGCTTGTGCCACCATCTACAGACCACTCAACAACACCCCCATGACTTAGAGAGGATTGGTCATGGCACAAACTCAATACAGGGCTAGAGATATTTGACTCCTGCTCCTGCACCACCTTATCAATTGCACTAGATTTATCTCAGTTGGGCTCCCCTGTTTTGAGCTCAAACTCATGATTTTTGTGGAAAGGTTTGCAACTTCTTTCATTGTTGTTCTCTGAAACCTTATGCTTGGTCTTCTCTTGCACTGCACCATCTTATCTTGTAATCACACACACCCAATCTATCTTCTCTCCTTCATTTCCCTTAACAGCTCTACTTCTCTTCTTCAACACCCTCTCTTCTCAATCTACTTAACCCTTTTTCTAAAAAAGCCCTTCCCCTTGTTAACCCATAAGCAGCTTAATCGGCTCCTCAAAAAATTTGTTCTTTTATTAGAGAAGTGGTCTCCACTTAGTTTATTTTTGACCCTAACAAAGAAGTGGGCCAATCTGATCAAGATGGATAATGCGCTGCTCCTATTAGCTTATATGACCATATGTTACATGTATTGGTAGGGTTGCAACAAATTGTACACTCTAGCTTGACTTGGTTGTCCAACTTCAAAACAATAAAACAAAAAAGTGGGCCAATCTGATCAGGATGGATAATGCTCTACTCCTATTAGCTTATATGACCATATGTTACATGCACAGTTAGGGCTGCAACTTGGGGTAGGCCCAACCTGGGCCTGAAAGAATCCAACCAACCCAAGCTTTTGCATGGTTGGGCTTGAGTTTTTGGGCTCCAGGCTGGACCTGGGTCAGAAAAATCAGGCCTAACCTGAACTCAGGTTGGGCTAGCCCAACCTTGACCCAAGCCCATCCAACCCGATCCTGCCCGACATTGTATGAAATACAAGTGTATATTGTGTATTTATAACATGTATATATGTATGAATATTATACTTATGCTATCGTGTACACCCTAAACTATATTTAGCTATTTACAATATGCATACGGTTAGCCTAAACTCACATCCATGCATAAACATGTGAAAATAGACAAATATTATAATTTTATTTGTATAAAAATATCTTTTTCTAATTATATATGCATGTATATATGTCTACAATATTTATATATGCATTTATCAAATGACATTTGTGCATATTTTCAATCCATTCTACTCTTAAATTGGGCTATAAAGCTGGGTAAACGATGGATGTGTAAAAAATATTCAATAATACGTCCAAACCCAACCAACCTGACCCAAGTTTTGTTTGGTTAAGCTTGAGTTGGGCTTAGGTTGGTAAACTGGGGTTTTAGGTTGGGCCAAGCTTGAGCCTAAGGTTTGAGTCTTAAGGTTGGGCCTGGGTTGACCCTCAACCTGACCCAACCTGCCCAAGTTGCACCCTATGCATAGGTAGTGATTTTCTTTTTCTGATGTACAAAAGGGTGTCTCTTTTAATAGTCCACCTAGAAATGGGTACTTTTTGTGTTGGCTCAACTTGAATCAGGCTGGCATTTTCAAGAATGGGTTTATAAGATCCAAGTATGATAGTTGTTAGAATAGTATTCTAAAGTCTGATTGGATTTTAGAATTATTCAAAACTGGGATGAGAGCTGAGTTAAGTTTTTGGCAGAAAATATGGCTCTTGATAGTTCGGGTACAACTTAGGTTGGGTTGGGGGGAGAGAAACTGCTAAATTTGGCAAAGGCCCAAAGCCTGAACCTGATCCCGGTGTAGTTGAAATTCTTCAAATCGGGCAAACCAGCTTAAACCCCCCAAGTCCATAAGCAAAATGGCTGGACAGAAACAGGATGTGCAGCCAACCCCAAATAGTTGGAGTCATGGTGGAGTTAAGTGAGTGGAAACTGAAGGAAATTTTGAGTAGTTGCATACATGAAAGACAGTAGCATACTTGTAAAACACGTCACAATTAAGCTTGAATATCAAAGGCATATGAACAGGCACTAAACACCTCTGCAGATTGGAAGATATATTCCATCTTAACCATTTGAAACATCTATTTCTGCTCTATCCGTTGGGCAATTAGACTTACCGCTGCATTTGCTGATGAGAATGCTCCATGAAAGCTCTCTTGATAAGAGATGGATTGCAAGTCTCTTGCCATCTTCAGTAAAATCTCCCCCAAGTCTGATTGTTTTCTTACTAGAGACTCATAATAAGACTGAGCAGCAACTTTGCTAATTTCCACATTAGTTGCCTCAGGACAGTACTCATCATCCAACCATTTGTGTAGAGTTACTCTAAGCCACTCTGATTCCTGTAGATACACTAGAATGGTTAGGTGTATTGCAGTGAATATCACATAATTATAAGGGTTTTTCCCCTTAAACTATAAACAAATCAGTTGGCCCAGGAAAACAATAAAATGGATTGAATGGTGCCAATTAACTTGGAATCTTTGAATGGATGCTTATTATCTAGCAACGAGATGTCAACTCAATGTAGTGGAAACATTCTTCACGTCCTCTCTGTAATTGAAGACTTCTAAAAAGAGATCCAGATGGAGGTGGAAGAATAATGAGGGACGTCTGAGGTGGCAGTAATATTAATTGATAAGTTAAAAAATAAAATCCTAGGGCTGCATTTGCTTCTCTGTAAAATGGATCTAGAATGTTTCAGCCTGAAATATTTCATCTATTATGTTCATCCTTTCTATGGAGAAATTTTGGGGCCGGCAAGTCTTTTTACGAAGATCTTCTGGTAGTTTTCACAGTCAAAAGACGCATTGAACTTTTGTATTAAGACCTTAGCAGCCTGAAGCCCGTTTGGACAAGGCTTGTCTTTCCGCACGTGTTCCTGACCTAATTTCTTTTTATGTAATTTAACTAGCAAGGAAAACAAAGCTTTCATTGTGAAAGGAGAGGAAGTGTAGCTCAAGTATTTCATCCCGAAAAAAAAAATCCGTCTATTTTATGTTGAATTAAACGCAAAGAGGTCATTGCAAAAACTTCCCTACAGGTAACCTTATGTGTCAAGATATGAAACCAGGCAACATAATGTCCTTCACATAGGACCAAACACAACATAAAGAGGCCGATCCGTATGAACATACGAGTGAGAAAAAGTAAGCGCCGTATGGATTGTCTTAAACGAGGCCATAGATCATCCTCGAAAAGAACTAGAAACCCAGAGAAAGGAAAATCAAGGAAATTCTCCGTGGAGTTCTAAATCTCCTGTTATGTGCAACCATCAGCGGTTTTTCCCCCTCCTCTGATGCCAAGTACCAAACATATAGGGAAGGGAGCAGTTTTCGGCCCAGTAAAAATTTTACATAAAAAAAAGTCGTATTCATCCTTCAGGAGGATATTAGTTCAGTTGGCTGAAGTTCTGCATCTCAAAAAGCATAACGTCTTGTGTTTGTTCCATGCATCACGATTCACAAGCAAAGAGAAACCAAGTAGATTTTAATCTGAAACTTCTGGTTGATTGTGGGAAAGGGAAAAAAAACCAAATCGGGATAATGGTTTTAAGGTACCTGCAGGGCCTTGGAAGGGAGCAACCAATCCTCCGGAACCCTAAGGTCTTGAATTAGGGATTGTTGGTCGTCATCCTGTTCCTCGTTGTCAATGCGTTGGGGGTTTGAACCAGAGGCTGGTCTCTGGACGGAGCGGGAACAACGGGGATCTTTCCGAGGGCGGAGTACCCTACGATGGAAGACGTCCGCATCAAAGACGAGTGCCCTAATTCTAGCTGCAGTGAACTTCAACGAACAGGGGAGAGAAGAACGATTTGTGGTCATTACAGTTGCGACGGAGGATGAAACAGAAAGAGACAGAGGCCCCATGCTCTCACTCTTGAACAAGACTGGACGATTGTTTATTATGCCTGATAGCGGGAAAAGAGGGAAACGAGTGCTGGCTTGGAGTGGATTAGGACGACAACGGTCAAATTCCTGCAGCTCTCGGAACCTTTTCAAGTAGATGATTCAATGGGTCGGTATGCATTATTGGGAGCACCTCCCGTATTTGTCATAGGTGTTTATAATACACGATTGAGATGTACTGTGGGGCCATGTGGGGCACCGATGTTATAGCATATTTACAATGGATCCGAGAAGCACAGTCTATATTCTATATATCCAAATCAGATTGGCGCTTCACATGCTCGTCTCAGCGTGCATTGAGAATATCTCTCGTATTTATATATATGATCTCCTGTATATTTACCTATTATCGACATTGGACATTATCTTTTGCATCTGAAGGATTGTCAATTGGTCGGAACGGGTCGGGTCGGGTCTAGTTAGAATCCCACCTGAACCAATTGTTAATTGGAACAAAGCATATACCCACAACCATCCTGATTAATAATCGGGTATAGTCTTGATAAACCTAATTATACTGAAAAATATATTTATTTATTTAAATAATATAACTTAAAATTTGATAATACAAGATTAATAAAAATGATGGAAAAGTATTAAATTATTTATATGTTAATAAATTAAACATTTTTAACTAATATTATCTTACTTATTATCTATCAAATTTATCATTTCAAACATAAAATCAAGGTTCAAAATTCTGTCACATATCAGTTTATATCGGCCAATACATATTGTATCTCGGGGTTTTCGACACAGGGAATAGTCCCAAATCAATGGTATTGTTCCATTTTGTTGTGTTGATGGTGTATTGACATCGTATTAGTATTGTATCAATGAGTTTTGGTCGTCTATCAGTCAATATGCTACCATAGCGTATCGAGTAGAATATCAACTGATACATGACGACTTTACTGTTGTGAAAATCGCAAATAGAAGTGGTTTCGAAAGAGGGCTTCTAAATCCATTTCAGAAGCCATTTTTCTTCCCCAAACCCTCTAAAAAGCTTCTTAACCTTCTCCTAGAGATTCAAATCTTGCAAAATTCCACCAAAAAATCTATAAACTTGCAAGATTCAACAAGTTTTTCAAGGTTGTGAAAAAATGAGTGAAAACAAGTGTGTTTTTTCTTTTTCTTTTTACATTTTCAACCAATGCCTTTGGGCTTTTTTAGTTTGGATGCTTAAAAACATTTTTATGTATATTGATTTGCTATTCTTGTGCAAAAAATCCCACTTATTTTGCTGCTATACGTAGATATTTGTGAATATTTGAAGAAATTCCAACATAGTAAGAAATCTGAAAAAAAATGGAAATTTTAGGTTTTTCTTGTGATCTAACTTTAGAAATTGATTATATTGTAAACCTATGGATGATCTACTATGTCCATAGATCAATTGGAATTTCTCCTAAATAATTGATTTTTTTTTATTTTTTTAGTAATATATATACATATATATATATATATATATATATATATATATATATATATATATATATATATATNTATATATATATATATATATATATATATATATATATATATTATGTGATCTAACCCTATAGGTTGAGTATGTTGTAGTGCTAAGACAAATCTAATATGGTCCATAATTCCATACATCAATATATTCAAATATCATGTGAAAATTTTAATTTGTTTTCTTTTTAATTTTTATTTTTAGATTATAAATATTTATTTATTTCTCTAATTTTTTGCTATGATCTAAATTCTAATAATAAATATTTGCATTAAATATATGGATGATCTATTATGTCCATAAACCCATTCAATTTTTTTTTACATATTTACTTTTTTAATTCTAGTTTATTTTTTTAGAATAAAATATGCAAAATAATTATTTGAATAAAAATAAATAATTATTTAGTTTTTAGAATGAAACATGCAAAATAATCATTTGATCTATTATATCCATAAATGAATTCAATTTTTTGTTACATATTTACTTTTTCTTAATTTTAATTTAATTTTTAGAATAAAACATGCAAAATAATTTTTTGAATAAAATAAATAATTATTTAGTTTTTTAGAAAATTAGAATGGAACTTGGAAGATTGGAATTGAATTAAGTACTTTATTAGATAGTATGTTTTTGTTTCCGTATATTGATTATAATATGTTTTTTTTTTCATACAATCCACTAAAACGTGTTATTTTTCTGCATAAATAGCTCATTTATGTCTTATATTTAGTGATATTGATGTTTATTTATGATTTATTGGAGTATTTATAACATTTTCATGTGTTTCTATGTGTATCTTAATTTTTTTGTCCATATCCATACGTATCAAAGGCGTATCCCGTTATGTCTCTTAAATTTGTCTTTCTGATACTTTGAACCTTGCATAAAATATAACAAAAATTGTAAAAAATATTTTATATTTAATAAAATAGCTAGGATATAGGTATTGAGGACAAGTAAGAAGTAGAACCAACCTAATTATTAATCAGGACAAAATAAATAATTGGTTTGGGTGGTTTGGGTTCATTGGATATACCCAATCGATTGACAGTCCTCTCTATATCTATATCTATAGATATATAAAGGGACAATTACCTGGTTTTATGTGTTAATTATAAAAGTTAAATCAGAGTATTGAAAATTCTTATACACATGCACGTGCTCTTCCACCATGCTATATAAGGGCCTGTTTGGTGCGTTTTTCTGCATGGTCTTTCAGTTGTTTACAAGTCGGGAAGACAAAAAATCGGTCTATTTCTGTTTAGCACGCGGAAGATTTAGCTGCTAAAAAGACACGAGAAGTCCATTTTGGGCTGATTTTGGAAAGCTCCAAATGAATCTTCTCACATCTTTCGCGTTTTAATCTCGCACAAAAAGACCCAAAATGATGCATGGAAAGATGCACATCTGCCAAACGGTCTTTGGGCTGCCCAGATCTTATGTCAAAAGCTCAATACATTTTTTGACTGTCAGAACTACAAGAAGATCTCAAAAAGATTTGCCAAACGGGAATATTTGCCTTCGATTTCTATGTAAGCAATGAGACCTTGTTTGGGCAAAAATTGGCTAGTGAAAAAGTGGTTTTCATCAACCAAATTTCATGTGTTTACTTTTCAATAAATTTTGGGTTTTATTGTAAAATTTTTTCTAGAATATCACTTACTCTATCATGTAGATAAATAATTTTCTCACTTATTGAGGGAAAGTTGGCAAAATGGAACGGGACAAATTTGCTCATTCTAATAAAATTTTGAGAATCAAACAACATGAATAAGTGAATTTATCCGGATAGTAGATTCAGTTGCCCAAGTAAATGGCTTTTAAAAAAACGAACAGAACCTAAATAGTAAATGTAAATACCATAATATCATATCTGATTATTACTTATTTATTTGTAGACATACACATAAAACGCACTCTTATATTTTATAGAATGAAGAGGAAGATGAACTCTCACCTCAATGCTCACATTATTTACAGTACAAATGCACAGTTTCATTCAATCAACTAGATTCAGATGCATCAGGAGCTACAATTGCAACTAGGACACACCAACCAGGTATATACACGTTCTAGTGCAAGATGCTGCAATTCTTAACCATCCGATGTGCTGTTCTTCTGGCTAAGAAAATCAAACGGAGTAGTCAGCAATAACAGTTTAGTAGTGAACTCCGGACTTGTTTGTCACATAGCGCTTTTCACACCAATCTCACAACCAATGGAGTTTACATCTCTGCCCCACAACGCCCCACAACACATTCCTGCCGTGTATTGGAAACAGATATCGGAAGATGTTTTCAATACACGGCGGGGATATGCTGTAGGGCGTTGTGGGGCGGAGATGTGATCTCTTCACAATGCGTTCCAGCCATACCTTGAGAACATTTCCTGTAGTTTGTATATTATTATTCTGGGAAAATGTTCTTAATACATGGTGGGCTGTGAGGTTGGTGTGAGATGCATTCTGTGAAGAGCAAATCCAAATTTCCAGCTGTGCATCACACGTGCGATGTTTGCAACATCACATTCAATGACCAAAGCCTGAAGAGATAACTCTAATGCAAATGTTATGTCATGGAGAAAAAGTGTGGGTTTCTGCTTCAAAGGAGCACATGGAGGAAGAAGGATGGCACTAAGGGTGAGCAAAAAAACCGAAAAGTTGAACCAATCAAAACTGAACCGAAAAATCGGTTAATTGAATCGACTGGTTACATATATTTCTATATATTTTATATATATTTATATATTATATATATATATATATATTTTACATTTTTATATATTATAAATTAATAAATATGCATTATATATATAAATATTGATGAAGGGAAATTTGGCCCGACCTCGCAGTCGCCCGACACGTGGCAAAGGCAAGCGGCTCGGGACAGTAGAGCACCCAAAGCGAACATTGGAAGCAAGTCCAAACTCACTACCGAGCCCGAACTCCAGACCGTTGTACTTAGTCCGAGCTCCTTGTTAAGAGCGAGCTCCCTGTCAAAGGTCCGAGCTCCCTAAAACCTGAGCTCCCCAAGTCCGAGCTCGGCACTAGGAGCCCGAGCTCCCTAAGA